CCGGATTGGTGAGATCTCGAGCTTGCATGGCTACAGCCCTGAGAGTCCTGAGTGTCAATCTATTAGCCTTCCAAAATGTTGCATTGTTGTAACGCAAATTATGCTTTTTGTAGAGTTCCTTCACAAAAGGTGAAATTTTCCTTAGATGATATATAGCCAAATGTGGAAACAAATGGTGTTCAACCTAAAATTGCAAACCACTATGAAACCAATTCATCCAAGATGAACACGTTATATTAAGCGTCCCACTAGTCTGCTTCTTAAACCAATCTTTCAGACTAGATGGTCCAACATAAACACTAGAAGAAAAATGGTTCAAACAAAACTAACCATGTTGAATTCTAGTCACTGAAAAGCTTGCAATGACAAACATTATCCTTTCACCTCAATTGGACAAGCATGTAACAAGAAGGGGATACCAAATCCAGAACACAAGAAGCCCCAAAATTTCCTGACCCATATTGGGCATTCTTCTCTTAGACAATAACAAGAAGAATTATTTTCAAACAAATTGTTTCGAGCAAAACACATAACATGATAGAATGTCAAGTGTTGGTAACTAACTAAAAACCTAGCAATAAAATTAAAATTCATCTTCCTCTTATAAAAACAAGATGCGAGAGAATTGAAGAATATAGAAAATACCATAAAGAGAGGCACGTGCTGGAGATCAGGTTCAAAGTCAATACTATTGACAGCAATGCAGTGGGCATTGTGGTTCCATTTCCACCACCTAATGTTAATCATTGCAATGCAATTCCCAGTAAGAATCTACACGAATAGATTAAGCACACTAGTGGACATGACCTGGTAATGCCCAGAATCATGCCTAATCCAACCAATTTGAATTCACGAAAGCCACATCGACCACCACAAAACAAATGAACTGAATTGTTGCTTGAGCACAAAACACCATAGACACTCAGAGAAAACAACATTGCCATAAAACAAAGTGTTATATAAGATCTATGGCATTTCTTTTCGAAAAACCCTATTTTCGAAAACTCACAAGATTTTTGTAGTATTTAGAGGCCTCAAAGACAGACTATTCAATGAGGTGATACCCATTGAAGAACTTGTCAAGATAGAGTCAGGCAGTGCATGGATGGTAAGCAACAAAAACAGCTGTCACATCTTGGCCTACAAGATTCAATAGAGGAAGCTCACCACTAGGGTGTTATTTGGCCCAATCTGTGACATCATAGACCTTGCCCTGTATAGAGATTCACAGATCTCCAGGTTTATTGTGACCGTTGAGGTTTTCAGATGAAATGTATCTTTTATGTTTTGCCATAAATTCAATAATGTGTATAAAGAGGTACCTGAAAAATACCCTATTTCACTTTCTTTCTCCCACTAACTTTCTCTCTCCTTAGGTGGAAAGATTATCATGAAGGAAGGTTCTTAGAAAGAGAGGGAGAGAGTGAAATGGTGATATGTGCCTGTGACTTTGCGTATGTATCTCTGTTAGTGGTTTGTGGTTTGTTAGGGTTTTTGATTTCTTGGAGCTTTTAAGGAAGATATGTGTGGTCTTGTCATAGCTAGGCAAGATTGAAGAGGTGCCGCAAAAGGTAACCTGGGTAGATAGAGATGATCTTATTTTAATAGAGAGGGTGATTATAGACTACAGAGTGGCATGGTCTTAACCAGTACAGGTATTTTTAAGCGTGTATGTAATGAGAAATTATTACATGATCTAATATGATCACGTGGTTAGAGAGAGAAAGTTAGAGAGAGGTGGGAGAGAAAGTTGGGGCGGCTTCTTCACTCTGCCTCCCTGCTCCCTTCCATGGGAGTGGGGAAATGAAGGCCGCCTCCCACGGCTGTAATAAACTCGGCGTGTTTCAATAAGTGTGCTCCTTGAGTGTTTTTTTACGTCTTTTTTTATTTTCTTCAGCTAGATTTGTTCATGTTCGTTTCATTTTCGGATCACATGGGCGGATCTGTTGTTTTCTTCGACTAGATCTCTGGTCTAGATCGGTTTTGGTTTTTTCCCGCCTCGATTTAATCTTTTTTCTCCTTGATTTAATCTTGTGCAGGGTTTCTTGGGTGTTGGAGCGCCTTGTGATTGTAGGTTTGGAGTGGTTGCCGTGATGATGGCCAGACCTTTCGGTCTCTCCTGTTTGCTGCGTTCTCCCATGGTTGTTCCATTTGCAGAGTGTTGGGCTCTGTTTCCTCCATAAATTTGAATCTCGTTCTTCATTTATTTGCTTTGCTTCAATATTTGTATGCCTTTTCTGGTTTGACTTTATGTCTCTGTACTGCCATCTTGGCTTTAGGCCTTTGTGCCTTTTAATGACAAAAAAAAAAAGTTCAACTAATCAGAGGCATACATGCTAAATAAAATTAACATGTAATTAAAGAAAAATTGATAAATCCACCTCACTTATTTATAAAATGCACTCTACTTTTTAAAATAATAATAATAAACCAACGGCCAGTGGTCTAGCGGTATCAGCCTCTTACTTTCCAAAGGGTTGTAAGAAGTTTAAATCTCATAAGAGACAAATATGTGTGGGTACCAACTAGAAAAAAAATAAAAAATAATAATAATAATTAAATAACCTAAAACAATCTCAAGTCTTGAACTCCAACCCTCCCCTTTGAAAAGTTGGGCTTGGTACAGTTGGGCCACTTGACCCTTTGGTGTTTTTTCTATCCCAAATGCATGAGCACAAATTCCCTATTAAAAGAGAAAGACTCCTATATATTCTAATTTCTAGAGGAAAATGAAATTATCAAGGCATAAGCTTCCAACTACATTACATACTGTTTTTAATATATGAGTAATGCTATAAAAGTCTATCAGTTTTTTGTAATTACTCCAATAAAAAGAGTTCAATAACGACTCTTGTCGGCTTCTAAAAATAATAAAATTTCATTAATAGATACTTATCTTAATCACTAATTCTCACATCAGATTGGTTAGGCAGTCACTAAAATAGTCATTTTTCTATATATATATATATATATATATATATATATAAAGTTATATGGGTATCTTCAACCTTCCCCTCTCCCCCACTTGTATAGACTGGAATATTACTCCCAACCGAGAGTCATTGTGGTAGCTTTTGAACAGTGGTTTGAAACATGACAACACTTAGTAATTTGGACTGTTAGATATAAAAAATATAAATAAAGGCAATTATTGACCTCTTAATGTTATGCATATTTGATTGGATTGGGCCTACAAATTGTGTGTAAAAGCAAAATACAATAAGGTACTTTGCAATATTAAAATCTGCCCCTTGGAAAGAACTTGATCAAAACCAGAATAAGGTAACTCTGTGTGTTATTTAGTTATTGCGTGTTCTATTGGAGAAAAAGACACCCTCCCAATTAGGGTTTACTCCAAAGGAGGAAGCTTCCCAAGGGCCACTCAATCCACAGGCAGAACATTCCTGTCCTAAAATAAATGTACCATTGTTTGACATTTGAGCATTGATATGCATGCAAGGTGAAATTTTCAACCATTGACTAGGTAGTGCATATGAGTTCATCGGCCAAATCGTCGGACTCTCCATTCAGTTGAAACTTTCACTATGTTAATCATTTTTCATTTTCTTTTTACTTATTTGAAATCTGAAACTTTCTTTAGGTTGAGTTTGGGAAAAAAAAAAAATCACCCAAATTATTATTTTTATCTTTTGCCCACTACTTATCCTTTGGACTGATCTTATTCGAATTTTGTTGCAATTGAATCAGCGAATTAAGCAAATATGCATTATTTTTTTTATTTTTTTTTAAAAAATCGCATTAGTTGAACCAACATTAGATAGTTCTGTATTTAGCTTGATCTTGAATATTCAAAAATATAATAAAAGTTGTTTTGTGGTACAAGAGAGTAAATTGAAAAAAAAAAAAAAGACTAAATCACTAGCGATTCTACATCCAATGATTTTTTACTTACCACAATTTTTTAACAGTTCTACTAATAAAGTATAACTTAGCTTGATCTGGAATATTCAAAGTTATTTTGTGGTACAAGAGATTAAATTGGAAAAAAAAATGACTAAATCATTGGCGATTGTACTTCCAATGATTTTTTACTAACCTCAATTTTTTAACAGCTCTACTAATAAAAGGACTCTTAAGCAGGTTTAGTACTCTAGAATCATACAATTCTTATACAGGCAAAAATGTAGAAACACTTCTATAATTGTTTGGTGATTGGATATGCACTAACCTCAATTTTTTAACAGCTCTACTAATAAAAGTTGTTTTGTGGTACAAGAGATTAAATTGAAAAAAAAAAAAACTAAATTGGTGATTGTACTTTCAATAATTTTTTACTAACCGCCATTTTTTAACCGCTCTAATAAAAGACTCTTAAGCAGGTTTAGTACCCTAGAATCATTCAATTGTTTGGCCTAATTACTTTCTTGCATTTTTGGAGAACTCATTCTGCCAAGGCAATTATCATCTGGCAAATCTTTAAATTTCTTACCACAAAATCAATCTTGTATACCCAACTAACGCTAATCTTAAATATTTATGAAAGAAATTATTACATGGTTCTGATCAATCACAATTCGACACGTAAGTAAATGTGTCATTTTTTGCGTGTCGAATTATGATTAGCTAAGATCATAAAGTCGCGAACCATGAAATAATTTCTCGTTATTTAAAGCTTAGATCAATCTAAGCTTTTTCATTTTTTTTCCATTGGAAAAGTCAACTCTTTTTTTTCCTTAACAAATATTTTTTGAATCCCTGTGTGTCAATGCAGTAGTTAAAGAATACCTACTTACAAATAAATAAATAAATAAAAGGGTTCAGGCCACCTACTGTTTATCATAGAGGATATGTGTCAACTTGCAGCATACACATGTATCTATCCATCTTCTCTGAGAAAGGCATTATTTGGGTACACTTTGGTCAGACGTGGTTAAATATTTTCAAGCTCGGTTCTCAATAGTTTTAACATGTTAGGGTTATAGTTTTCGATCTTTAGTTAACATGTTAGGAGAAAAATGAAATGCATGAAGAGATGAACATCCAAACTCATATAAGTATTTACCTGGAAGGCTCATCAAACCATCCTGAAGTAAACAAATTTGAACTACTCTTTTAAGTTCCAATTGTTGAAATTTGATAGTAGGCCAAAAATAAACCACCAATACAAAAATTTACAAAAATGTGAAGAACACAATCACCGGCAACAGCCAATATCAACGGGGATTTCCACCTTGGATGCCGCCACCTGCATGGAGTGATGTACATGTCCATCCTATTCTATGAATTCTATCCACCGGCAAACAAACCACTGCTACTCAACAAATGAAAAGTAAATTTGGTTCCTTGGTCCTGATCCCAGTTCAACTTAAGAACAATGTTCCTTTATGATTGCTGGAGAATGATGAGAATCAGAACCGTGAATGGATAAACTTATCTGTTCTTCTGCATGATGGCAATTGATAAAGCATATCTTTGTCTCGCCGCAGACCAGCTGTTACAAAGTCGAGCACAATCGAAGCTAATTCATCCTGATGTGAAGTGTATTCGTGATCAGCTCCTTCTATAATGTGTAATTTGTGATTGGATATGTACTTGTTGAATTCCATGGCGTCTTGGACTGGTACTATTTCATCCATAGACCCATGAACAGTCAACACACTGTAAATAGTAGCAAAAGTATCTGAATACATGCGAGAGTTACAAATCAAAATCATTGAGGCCTCTTTCAATTGAAGGGACCCGTTAACATTATATACAGTATTTCATTGTAGAAATTAATTATCTCGAATAGATCAATTTGAGAAAACAATAGCCATCTAAAAAATAATGTTCAAAATAATGGATCTTGTAATTTCAGAGAAAATAAAAATGAATATATATGAAGAAACATGTTTCAAGTTTCAAACATTTTCAGGCTCCATCAAGATGATGAGATTTTTTGACTCAAATGCCAAGTAAATTGTGCACAAGAGCATTCAAAATCAAGGGAATGCATGAAAAATGCTACCATTTCAGAGCTACATTAAATCACACAGAGCAGGAGCAAGAACAAGAGCATGGGAGCATCAAAATCTAAAATATTTAGTGTGGGAGCATCTATAGAGTACCTGTATGATGCATATATATGTATTATTCCATATAATAAATGATCATTTTAACTGTTTACATTTCAGTTTTTGTTCAATTTTAATTGATATTCTATGCATGTCTAAAAAATTAATCAAATGAACGGTTCCATTCAGATTAAAATATCACAAAAGATAAATCTTGGATAAGGGGTAAAAGCCCTTGCTTCTCCCTTTAAAGGTCAAGCCATTTAATTTCTTACAGGTGGCCCAGCAGCAAAACGGAGGGCGCACAACTGTTCAGTTTCTTACACATGGCCCAAAGCCATAGTAGATTGATTGAATTCACGGATTTAGATATCAGAACGGTGATCCAAAATGCGCAGAGCTACAGTTCGCTACTCCCCCTGAACCAATTGTGCGACTCAAGGTGCTAACGTAAAAGGGAAGGGGGCAAACTCTTACCAACCACTGTCCTTAAGGCCTCGCAGTTTTCACCTCCCTCTAATTTAGAGGGAATGCAACTGAATGGATGAACCATTACCAACCACTGGTCCTACATGACTACATCCTGGTGGTCTCTGTATGCAATTTACACAGCCTAGGTTCTGTATATTGCACAAGTCAGAAGGTATTAGTAGAAGTAAACCTACAGATACTACTTTAAGCAAATAGAAAAGCAAGTTCCAGTTATCCACTCCTCCCTTCAATCCAATAGAAGGGAAAAAAATGAAAAGAAAAAACAGAGAAAATAATACAAATGCAATCAACCATCAATTACTTACCTGCAACTTTCATGAATTGATAGGCACGCGGCATGAGTATCAGTCGTTAGACGGTCCATCAAACTTTCTTCAGTCACCCGATACTGGAGCTTTCCTACAAAAATAGACAAAAATGACCAACAAAATCAACTATCAGGACTTCCAGGTGGAAATGAGAAGTCTTGCATGTTTGCACCCTATAAACTCTTAAATTTATGAGTAAAAAATATTAACAGAACAAGAAGTCTTAAAAAAACAAAAGAAGATTAGGGATATTGATACGTTGGAGAAATAGACTAATAGAGTAAAACAATGTAGATCAGCCACCGTAAAACACAGGAGTAATCATAAATTCATGATGTTGATGACAAAACAAATGGAGTAATTACAGTTCAAGCATACCCCATCTGTTTTCAACATCAATAAATCCGTGTTGCTTGATTCTTCGTAAAAAATCTCTGCCTAAGCGACCTTCAATGCCTTTCTCCAAACTGAAGCGGCCAGAGATATTAACAACTGTACAAACATCATTATATCTTGAAGCATGCAGAAGCACCACATTTCCTCCTGCAAAATTCCTTTTCAGCATTATAAAACATTTAAGAAACATATTACATAAAGACAATCCTTTGTTTGTGGAAACCAATTATGCAAGATCGGCAAAACATATCCGAGAAATTGCAAAGCAGCAAAGATTTTAGTGAAGTGATTGACTAGATTCCCATCAGAGCAATGCAACAGAATAACTGCATACCTCCTTGAGAAAAGTAACCTTTTCATCACTGTTCTATAAAGAACTATGATTTAAGTAGAAATCCTACTAATAATAATATCACTGTTCTGCAATGAACAATGTTTTAACCACAAATCCTATTATTAATAATATCCAACTGCAACATTTGTTAAGATTAACATTAACCATTGAAGTCAAAAGAGATCCACCTTTCATATGAATTTTTTATCCTCTAGAAATTTTTGGTACCTTATGACAGTTCTCAACATTTGTTGAAAGTTATTAGCATTATAACGATTTATTGCTTCTGGGACACTAACCACCAAGGGTTCTAGGTTAGTGGTATCTCCTCACTTTCCAACATGAAAGATTGAGAGTTCAAGTCCTCATAGAGGAACAGTGAGTGTGTGAGTAATATTTGTCACAACACAAATATATATATATATATATATATATTGTGAAGTCACTATTTTAACAATTATATAGGACCTATAGAAACCTTATAGATTCACTGACAACAAGGAACCATCAGCATTCTGATAACAATTATTCGCGGATAACTCAGTGTCGACCAATTTATACTTAATGCTATAGGAGAAGAATTGAAATTTATACTCAAACAAGTAAGCTTTCCAAAAAAAAAAAAAAAAAAAAAAAACCACCCACACACCAACTGTCCTTTACTTCCTATTATTTATTACTAATTGAATCTGGAATATTTAAAATTGACAGACCTTTACTATGCCCAATAATTGCAGCTATAACACGTTTCTTCTCACTGAAGTATTGGACTACAGCACGCAAATCATCAGCTTCTCTATGGTAGTTACCATACTGAAATGAACCTTCACTTTCCCTGGAAGGCAGAGAACAAAGAGTTCCTTGTCACTATATTTATCAGAATCAAGTAACTCACATGTTCCAAAATTTCAATGGTGAGGCATGTGTAGGAGGCAATTTCAAAGAACTACTTCTACCTATAACTAGTAAACAAAGGCATGCATCAGATATAATATAAATCTCTACAATATGTCCCATTCAAGAAACTCCAAGAATCTAAGGGCTTGAGATAAATCATCAACAGAACAGCTACAACAGTGCTTTTGGTTGAAATGGGTTATTTAACTTATTTTAAGGTTACTGAAAGACACTTAAGAGTATATCTGATATGAGAGAGAGGGAAATATTGATGGTTGTAAAATGGACAGATTGGAAATATAGGCTTGCTTGGTTTGTAACTCGGAAAACAGTTCTCAAGAATTCAGAAAACAGAAAACTGTTCTCAGAGAACTATATAAATCTTTTATAGTTCTCTGAAAACAGGGCATTTGCTTGTTTGGTTTGTAACTCTGAAAACAATTCTCAGAATTCATAGAACAGAAAACAGTTTTCAGAAAACAATAAAAGACAATTCTCTGAAAACAGGCCTTTTTGCATTTGTTTGCTTGGTTTGTAACTCTGAAAATAGTTCTCAAGAATTCATAGAGCAGAAAATAGTTTTCAGAAAACAATAAAAGACAATTCTCCTAAAACAGGCCTTTTTATAATTGAGTTTTCAGAAAACAGTTTTCTAAAAACTGAACCAAGCCGAGTTTTTTGTACAGTTTTCAGTTTTCAGTTTTCTGTTCCATAGTTACAAACCAAGCAGACTTACATTCAATTTTCCAATTGAACACACAGAACAGAGATCAGTAGCCAGCTAGTGATTAAATAGAACTCATTTTTGGAATGAATGTGTTGGATAAACAAGAAACAAGATGGTAAAGAAGTGAGTGAAGCCAAAAAGCAGATGACGAGATGGATGGATAAGAATAAATAATTCCACGAGAAGCTAAGGGTAGCACCAACGGAAAGAGAATGAAAAGAATGGTCAACTAGATAGTTCGGGCATGTGCAACAAAGGCCAAGAGATGTGCCTGCGAGGGGAAGCGAGTTGTTTGAAGTTGAAGGTAATAACAAGGACTAGGTGAGAACATAAGTACAGAAAAGCCAAATCTCCCATTGTAGTTTGGAAACCAAATGGGCAGACAATTTTGTCATCTGAAGGTAAGTAAAAAGAACTTGCAAATTGCAAAGACTGCCACGTGTAAAATAACCTTAATTGCTGATAGAAATTATCCATTTTACTAAAAATTATTTAACATATCCCTACTATTAATGCCTCATCATAGTTATCGGTCGATAAAAAATTGCAATGCAAAAATTACAGAACATGTTCCTGCAAACTTTTGTAAATATAAGCAAAATATTTTCCCTAGTTGACAAAACTTGTGTGACCAGAAAGAAAATAAGTAGCTTTAAAATTTTGGGACCCTCTTAATACATCAGTGCTTCCATAACCTCTGTTTGCAAATTATAATAATTCTTGGAGTCCAAGTGTTTAACAAAAAATCAAAAAATAACTAATTCAAACAAAAGAACCTAAAATATTAATGGCATCGAGATAAGACCTCAAGATAGAAACAAAAGAGAGAGAATGTACAATTGGATTAATATTAGCATTTAAAGCATATAATATATGTGAAGTAAATGAAAGTCGAAGAACTAGGGGAAAAAAAATGTAAGTCCAAGCCGTATGCAGACTTGCTAATTTCACCACAGAGTGAAAGCCTATAATATGTAGTCCAAGCCACTGAATAATTTTTGTGTGTGTGTGTATATATATATATATATATAAATTTTTTTTTTGTAACCAACCACAATTTTAAGTGCTAGCTAAAGGTTTAACTTCATAATAGTTATTTCTGGGGTGGGCCTTGGCGCAACAATAAGGTTGGGCTATCCCTTTTTTTTAGTTATTTTTGTTCTCTCTTTTAATTTGCCACTAAAATCATACCCATTTATTATTCAATGTTTTTATTGGCTTTCATTGCAAACAACTCACCCATTGCCAGTAAAATCAAAGCGAAAGGCACTAATTCCCTCTTTTGCGAAAGCAGCAGCAAGGTTCTTCATAGGGATGCGATCCTGGATTCAAAAACAAAAAGGGAGGAGGTCCACGAATTAATCCCTCGCCTTTTCTGAGCAAAAATCAATACCATTGCATGGGCAACATGGATACATAAGCAAATGTACAACCAACAGTAAAACAGACAAATCGTTGAAGGAATTGTGTAATTTAATAGTTTTGCTAAGCTCCAGATTTATTCTCAATTTTGTTGTAGGGTGCTCTTAAGATTTGCCACTTTGAAATTAATTGAGAATGCAGGCTAAGTCTCATATATTTTTTGGGATGAGATGAAAAAGGATCTTTATCATGAATAAAGTAGACCATATGAGAAAAAATTGGCGATTAATGCATGTAATACCTTTTAATTAGAATGCATACAATCAATTTCCATTAGTTCAGCATATTCAAAGACTATCCCTAGATACATAAAGAATTGAGAGGCTTAATGTATTTTTCATTCTCTTTATAATTTATTCATACACTTGATACAAGAAAGCAATGCGCCTTAAGAAAGAAGTTGCAAAGTGGAAATTCAAGAGATATGCTAGCAATAAGGCTGTAAATAGAGGTTTAAACACACAATTGCAACTACATATATGTACAAATAAATATGAAAACTGGAAAACGTATACACATATGTGCATGTATCCACACACACACATATATATAAATTCCAGTACAGATGCTGAATTTATTTCATTCTAAAGGAAGCTGCCAGACTAGTCTGACTCACACAACACTCAAGAAAAACCATTTCATCCTCTCTCATACACAAAATATTTGCCAGAAGATTTAGTAGACACAAATAGTAGCTTATTCATTGCTCACATAAAGAAATTAACAAAATTTAGTAGCTTGGAAATTGGGAGATAATAAAATAACAGCAATTGCCACTCACGTATAACCAATCAAAATAGAAGCCGAGTGTGCTACATCACACAATTTCCAACCTTTGAGGATCTAAATCCATGGCATATGATTACAAGCTCCTCTGAACCTGTTTCATGCAATATCCCCACAAGCTTCTCAAAGTGGTGGTTCTGTATTGTAACTCTATGTTGTTGAATCACTGTTAAGAGATAAAGGAAAAGGGATTTAATATTGCAAGTGAAATTGGTCACAATCTACAACTCAAAAGGGGTTTCAGAACACAAAAAGAAGATTACTACTAGCAACCTTTTGCAAATACCCAAAGAAGACAACATTTGATAAACATATATGGCCACATCCCAAAATATTAAGATGATAATAGGTGAATCCAAAATAAAAACACTTCATGTTTAACTGAATCAATGCATAAATTAATCATTCTGGCCTCTGGGGTAAAAAAACAATAACTTTCAAGTTGCTCAATCAACTTCCTTCTCGAACACTAAGTCACCAATTCAGCTATATAAAGTGCACTATCCCAGAAAAGTCATGTCTTTTGTCACTGTTCCAATACATATTCCTTTCAGACCATTTTTTTTTTTTTTAATTTTTTAATTTTTTTAACAGTTGGCCCATTGCAGGGCCTGGGGAGGGTCAAATATACACAGGGTCACAGCCTTACCTCCACATGCGGAGAGCTGTGATTTGAACCCCTGACCTCCAAGTTACACTGGAGCAACCGGCACACCCTGCCCAAAATCGTCCATTTAACAAATAACAATCATCCATTTAAGTATTTATCCTTCCTAAAATCATGTATGCATAGATAACACAACGACCATACAATTCGTATATATAGAATTGGTCAGGCCACTCATCAAATCAACCTTATTAAAACTTGTGAGCAAAAGAAGGGAATGGTAGAACATAGGAAGGAATAGAAACAAACATATTAAGAACAAAACCTTAAAGCAATGCACACCAGGAAAGCTAAATTGAAGTTACATTTGAAATCACTACATCATCTACAGAAAATTAATGTACTCAACTAATTTCAATGGCATGAAAATATTGCTTTGGATATAACAATCAACAAAAGAGAACCAACAACATCAACAGATTGCATAAGCAATAAATAATAGTAATAATAACTAGCTAGTACCCATTTGAGATGTTTGAAAGACAATTAACACAAAAAGGGAAGCAATAAACTTCACTCAGATATAGCAGCAATTCTCAATTGTTTTCCTTTTTACTTATTTTTTGGGGGAAAAAAAAAAAAAAAAAAAAAAAAAAAAACCATATCAAATAATTCATAGAAAAGCTAATTTGATAATCTAAACATTTGGGATAATTCTTTGATGGGTCATTGACAAATACCATTGTTTCAATCAAATTTGCGTGCGAAATGATAGCACGAGTGTCTTTGATTCTGGGTGTAATGGGTAAGTGCTCACCTGGGTGGTCATGATGGTGGCGTTGGTCTTCATAGGTTGGACCGGATTGAGCCATCTGACGACCATGGGTTTCTACTTTTGAGGCCATTGATGGGGGATGGATGCCACACGGCGGATCAATTTGAGGAAGAATACATTCAACTTCTGTTCTACTCCTGCATTTATAGGTGAAATGTGTTTTTCCAGTTTTGCCACCAGTCCTCACTCCTACTCCTGAACAGGATTCGGATCTGATACCCTTAAATGGAGCTTCAATTCTTTTATGCCACTAGTTTGTTCTAGGAACAATCAAAATGGATCATATGGGTTCATGTTTTGTAAGAAAGATTAAATGCACATGACTTCCTATGATGTCAATTTGCCTCACTTTTATCCCAGATTACGTTTTTGACCACTAATAAAATGACCGTGTTGTCCTCATGCAAGAAAAATATTTTATGTTTACATTTTACTGTTATTAAAAATGTCATGATTATCTAAAGGAAAACTGTCAGTGTCACACTCCGAATCGAAAAATTGGAACACTTTTTTTTGGCAAAATATAAGTTTTTCATTTTTCTGATACAGTGGCACATATTCCGTTAAAGGGATTATCTATCAAATACATTATATAGTAGGGTAAAATACACAAGTTTAAGCTCAATTACTCCTTCATTAGAGTTGGTTTTGAATTGATTTGATGTCAATAAAAGCATAATTTTTATACGTTGGTGTGAGACACTCGCTTGGACATTTGAATTTACTCGATTGATGAAAATTCTCTAAAGGATTTTGTTTTAACATAAACTTTCACATAAATTAACGCCCGCAGCCTAATACAAATCTTCTACCTTTCAATGTGGAAAGTAAGGGTTTGATCATCCATGGAGATAAATGGGTGTGTTAGTTTCTTGTCACTGGAAGAAAAAAAAAAAAAAAAAAAAAGGTTGAACATTGCAATATAAAAAAGAGACTACAAAAGAGTAAGATTGGTTCAATTTCTGTAAGGAATTTTCTACGGGAGAGTTAAGGCAGATAAATGAATCAAGCCCATTGAAGAACAATTGCTTTCAAGCATGGAAGTTCAAGTTCAAATCCTCTAGTAACATTAAAGAATTGGTGTAAAGATGCTAAACAATTGACCGATCTAGTTTTTGCATTGAAAAAGGTATTGTATAACTGAAGTAACAAATAAGGAAGAGGTTGACGTGGGAACGTTTAAACGATTCACAACATAAACACCCTCCCAAAATGAGAGCGAGCACGATTTGTTGTTTTGAATCTGACAAAAATCCACTGTATAGCAAAAGAAGAAAAGGGAGGACAATGAATAAATATTGTCCAATGGAGGACTTGAATTACAAACACTACACTTGACATGGTGATAGTCTCTGCCATTGTCTTCTACAGATTTTGCTAATCTCCGAATGATGGTACATAAATTAGACCTCACTGATACCAATCAAACTACAGTTATTCTCAAAGCTAACAAGCTTGCATGTAACTATATGCACGTAAGTAAAATCTGACAAAAATGCACTTGCAAATAATCAACTCAATATGTTTCATGCTAAGATCCCACGGGAGCAATGCCTTTTGTCTTGGCCGCAGCGGTTGCAGCTGCCGCTGCAGCTGCTGCTGCTGCAGCAGCAGATGCTGCCGCATTGGGTGTTGAAGGAGGCACTGGGTTAGACTGTGAAGTGCTCTGTGGCGCAATCTTCTGTTGCTGCTGCTGCTGCTGCGGTTGCTGGGAGTTGAGCTGAGCAAGCAGGGTATTGATTTGGCTTCCTGTAAGTGTCTCATGCTCAAGTAACGCGTTGGCAAGCGCATGAAGCTCTCTCTTATGGGTGGTGAGAATGTTTTTCGCATTGTTGTAAGCCCTGTCCAACAATTCCTGCACTTCCTTCTCAATTAGCAACCTAGTTTCCGTGCTCATGCTCTTTCCATTGTCATCATAGTTGTGAGTGACCAACCCAACTTGTTTGCTCATACCATACTTCGTAACCATAGCTCTGGCAATCTTAGTTGCTTGCTGGAGATCAGAAGATGCACCTGAGGTAACTTCATTTTCTCCAAAGATGAGCTCTTCCGCAACTCGTCCCCCCATGCAAACATCAAGCCGAGCAAGCATCTGCTTGCGAGATACACTCGTCTCATTCTTGTCGGGCAATTGGGAAACCATGCCAAGAGACATCCCCCGTGGAATAATTGTTGCCTTATGCACTGCAAGAGCCCCATCAGTGTGGATAGCCACAAGGGCGTGGCCACCCTCGTGAAAAGCAGTCAGCTTCCGTGATTCATCAGATATAACAGCTGATTTGCGCTCACTTCCCATCATGATCTTGTCTTTCGCAAACTCTAGATCAGCCATGCCCACAGATTTAGCACCGTCCATTGCAGCCTTAAGAGCTGCAATGTTAACCAAGTTTGCAAGATCGGCCCCTGAGAACCCAGGAGTTCCTCTGGCAATGATCATCAAGTCAACATCGTCTGCCTTCAGAACCTGTGAAATAGATTTTGGATCACGAATTTAAAGTTAGGCTAAAATAAAAATAAATAAATAAATTGCACAATAGTAGCTGTCTGCGTGGCATTTGTTGCGTACATCCAAACAAGAACCTACAACTAATTGCCATGCTCAGAGGATCCAGAGAAATAGTATGCCCTTCAAGTGCCATTGGCCACTACACATGTTAGTTTAGGTGCAGATACGATGATACTAATGTAACTACTGCATCTTTTACATTATATATGCATATACCAGAAACACATGCAATCATTTGAACCATCCTCATGCAGTGAACAGAATATACTTATATCTATATATAGAACTACAGAACCAATGAAATTGTGGCTATAGAAAATGCCACACCAGTAAGTACATTCGCCAAGGACTATGTGCCAAGATGATGTCACGCTGACTCAAGCCTATGCCGTACCACAACCATGCAGACTGATATAGATTGCCACATACATCAAACCCCAGAAAACTTACTTTCATCCTGTACATGCAGGCAACCTTCAGAGACTGATTTCTTTCCTTTGTAAGGCAAATTAAATTTCCACTATTTATGGTGAATAAGAATTGTTCATTTGAAGGCAGAGTGAGAAAGAGACTGTGTGTGAGTGTTTACACATACTGATAGATTAATCAATAAGCCATAAAAAAGAAAAATAAATAAAAATATCAAGCCTACAATGAAAATAAGCCAGGCCAATGCCCTTTTCAGCACTGTAATGGTCTTAGCTTTTGGCAAGGGACATTAAACCATTGCCAAACCAAGCACTTTTCAAAAAATAAAAAGATTCCTCAATAAGTAGCAATACCTTTGACATGTGTGATTCCATAATCTGCCTTCGCCCTTCCACGTCCGGATTTGGGACGACAATGTGACGGTCAAATCGTCCAGGTCTCACAAGTGCCTTATCCAAAGATTCTGGGAAATTAGTTGCGGCAATCACAATAATTCCATCATTTTGTTTGAACCCATCAAGTTCAACAAGCAACTGATTTAAGGTCATTTTCATGTACTGCTGATCTTTTGGGTTACGGCTTCCTCCAATGGCATCTATCTCATCAATGAATATTATACACGGTGACCGCTTCTTTGCAGCGGAAAATAGATCTCTCACCCTCCGGGCTCCAACGCCAACAAACATTTCTTCAAATTCACTGCCGCTGCATGAGAAGAAAGGCACCCCAGCTTCTCCAGCTATTGCTCTCGCCAACATAGTCTTGCCAGTGCCAGGTGGACCAACAAGCAAAACACCTTTTGGGAGCTTGCCACCAAGACGAGTGAAACGCTGCAACAATTGAAAGCTAAGGTAAAGAAATCTGAATCTTTCTGACAGTGAAGCAACAAATCTCTATCGATAAGTGGAATTAGGCTTCAAAATCTTACAATTTAATTTTATGCATTGTTTGGCGCATTGCCAACAAAGAAGTTCCACAGCAATATTATTTGGCATATTTGGGAAAAAAATGTGAGGAAGCAAATAACTGTATGACTTATGCCGTGGATATGCTGAGGCAGGTACTACTTCACTATATGCATAGGAGAAACTACTTATGAACTAGGATGCATCCTTCACGGATGCACAGACAGACAGTTCCTGACCACAACACCCAAGATGCATTTACCTTAGGGTCTCGAAGATAGTGAACAATTTCTTCTAGCTCAGATTTTGCCTCATCAACACCCTTTACATCACTAAATTTTGCGTTTGATTCCATGCTTGGATGCACCTCTTCATGTAGACCAAGTCCTGAAAAAACCAAACAGAAATAAAAAAGAAAATCTTACTCCAATTATAAATATCTCTGAATCAAATTATAGTCACACGCAATATCAATGAGTAATACCTTTACTGATTCCTCTATCCTCAATGAGTGCTCCTACACCTGAGATCAAGAGAAAGGCCATACCCAGAGCACGGAATGTACGCCACAACTGTTCTTTGAAATGCCCTCCTTCTGAAGCCACCATATGAATAGGTGCACTAGCAGTTCCAAGGACACCATCTTTTGTAGATTTTCCCACATTCCTAAAAGCTGAAAAGCTGCCTACACTTTCTTCCTCCATTGTGGAGTTAGCAGCACCTCCAATTCCTGTATAAAACTCATTCTATCCGTTGGGTGTTCAAGGGAGGGGTACGTAACTTCTTTCAACAGCAAAATGGATAACAATGTATAACAGCTACATAAGCAGCTCAGTTTCTGCAATTGTTCTTAATGGTGAAAACCCAGGTTCTTAAAATTCAGAGACATAAATTTGAATGGTCCGCAAAACCTAACTGAACGTTCATGTCTTTTCATTTGTATTCTATTTCTAAATATAACATTCACAACAAATGAGTTAAAAACCCATTTTCTCATATGCCAGCGTGTTTTGCAAAGCTTAATTGTAAGCTAAAATAAACAGTTTTGCTTTCATATTGCTGTAGCATCACCTTAGTAACTATTAGTGTTGATTATGACATGCAAAACAGGTATTTCACAATGATAAATCAAAGAACTCAATTTTATAACACTAGATAAGCCATCTGAGAGCAAAACAGAGAAGCATTTTACAAAAACCAATGCCGTCACAGTTTTTGTAACAAGAAGAAGATCGACTAAAGGGTTGTGAAAGAAAGAAGAGAGAGAGAAAGAGAGAGAGCAAAAAGGAAAGAGCAGAATATGTAGGCTTGTTTGATTCAGATTTCTGAAACAGTTCTCAGAAACTTAGAAAACAGAAAATGTTTTCAGAGAACTATAAAAGACAGTAATCTGAAAATGTATAGGGCCAGTTTGGTTCAGCAAACAGTTTTTTAAATTTTCTGAGAACAAAAAATCAGACAGGTCCATCCCTAATGGTTTTCTGAAAATTCATTTTAAAAAATGTCTATTTTCATAGAACTGTTTTTAAAAAACTGAACCAAACAAGACCAAACCTTTTTAAAATTGTTAGGAAACTGATACCAAGGTCCAAAATTACACAAAATATTCATTCAAATTTAAAGCAAAGGCAAGACGACAGGGGGGAAGATTGTTATTTTCAGAATCTTGTTCTAAATAGTTTAGATTCAGCAGCAAAGGAAAAATTAATTAGGAAATGAAACTAGCCCAAGTGACCAATCTTCCAAATAAAGCCACCAAACAAAAATTCACGAGGCCTTTAAACAATTCTTCCTAGGGAAGGAGCATAGAGATAGACCTGAAGTTCAGTTCTTTATTCGTATAAGTTATCGAAAAAACCTAATCCCGATTGTAGATAAAACTCATAAAAGTAGGAGGTTAGAGAAAGCCTTCATGTCTTTACAAAAATAAGGTTAGCTAGTTACTAAACAACATAATAGGGCATAAGAACTGCAAGGTATAAGGGCTTGGAAGAATATTAACTAGATAGTGATTCCATTCCCACACCTACCTCTCTGCAGAGTTTTGAGCAACTCACTTTCATCCAATCTATCAACCTTGACCAAAGCTTTAACATATTCAGAAAGTGCAGCTGGGTTAGAATGTAACGAACGCTGACTTTCAAATAGCCTTATTACTGCATCAGGGTCATTCCGATGATAAAGCTCTTTCAGATATGCTGCATCAATTGACCCATCTGTATCCCGTACTCTGCGAGCTAAGCTGCCAACATAACTCGACTGAAACCTTTCTCGAGCACTCGGAAGCCTACTCACTGCATGAAGAGTAAAAAATCAATAAATTATCCTTTGTAAGAAGAAGATAGATGCTTTCACTTTACAAAATGGCATGTCGGGGATACACACAAGAAGAAATTATAGACTCGCTTTAAATTATTTGATATAGTATAATATCCCAAAGCAGAAACATTAAATGCCGCATCTCAACAAAACCATTTAGAATAATTACAATATCGATCTAATTTTGATGTATGGAGTTCAGTTTCCAAAAGGCATTCAAATTAAAAAGTACAAAAATGTAGAAATAAGAGCATGTCTTCACATTCTCCTTTTTTATAAACACACCTCTTCTTATTAAAAGCACAAAAGAACTGGCACATACACAATGATTTTTGTCACCAGTAGAACTAACTCGGTGTAAAAATTGTTGTCACTTTCATGTTTTTACATGGCCAAGATTCCAAACAGCTTATATAAAATTCTCACAGCTAGAAGTAAGTTTAATTAATTGATTATCTTGGCAATGGGTGGCACAGAAGGAGGCTACTAGCCCACTATGCCGTTTCACTTTTCCAGGAGGGTCTAGTGGGTCCTTTAAATGTTCTGTTTTTCCATTATGATAAATAGATATTTATGCCTCCAACACTGGATTCCTGGGGAAGTCTAAATATCTAAAACTGATCACCAACATTCCGCGTGCTCATCTAATGTTATATCCTATAAGCCTTTTTTTCTTTTAGTAAAATGTTGACAACACTGGTTCATCAAAAGTATTTAACTGCATAGACTATATTCAATGAATTACACTCGGGTTTCATGCATTCGAAATGCAGGTAAAGACCCCAAGATATGCCAACATATCTTTAATTAATAAGAGTCCACTAGGGAAAAATTACTATGGTGGAATAGTGGAGAAAAGCTTTAGAGAAAAATAATTTAAGGGAGAAGTTTTCCCCAACCACTAGAAGCTGCTAAGCATGGAAGGGCCATTTTTTTATTTTTTATTTTTATAAGTAAAACACTGAAGGCCTTTGACGAGAGAAAAGGGGCTTGCCAGTGCAGGCATTTTGGTTAGTATGTTGCCGAATTACAAAGTCTTGGTTAGGGTCGAAAGTTGCAACTGGCAAGGAGCAAAGGCATATCAACAAACCATGATACTAGATTGAAGATATATATATATATTTTTTTGATAAGTAATACTAGATTGAAGATATTTTAATAATTATGATTAAAATATATTTTAATCATAATTATCAAAATTAGTTCAGACACCAACCCTACACCGGGGTTTATTGGTCACTACAAGCACGTGATTTCTGAGAATTGAGTAATTAGTTCAACGGCTACACGGCGAGAAACAATCATGACCAAAGAGCTTGCTAATCTGTGCCAACAGACAAGAAGTCACCGAGATCTTTATAAAACATCAAGTGGTAAAAGCATAAACTTGTGTGTAGTTTATTCAATAATAATGTGTGCAAAAATTATAAAAGAAATAATGCAATGGTTGGCGTGTACATGAACAACTATTGAGATTGTAAATTTTCAATTGGCACTGTCTTACAATTTCACGAGTACAAAGTTTACGTCCAATGTTACCAATCAGAAAAAGTACTTGTAAATAAATCTACTTCACCAAAGTGTCATGATCTATATCATTGAAGCTGAACAATAACCACAAAAACATGGTCTGTAATTGCCAATAATAAATACCTACCCCCACCATATCTGAACTTTTGGAAAGTGACAAAAGATCTAGCAAACAGACCATTGAATTGCCGCAACTGGGATTGCTGCTTTGAGACCTGCTAAGAAAAAAACAGAGTCAAATATAATAAGAGGGAAGAACAACAGCATATCAAAATAAGAAAAACCTACTATGAGGGAACAAATACACTGAGAGAACCCTTATAAAATACGTTAATTTTGTGTACCCAATGCAACATCATAAGACCCAAAAAAGAAAAAAACTATTCATCATAATCATTTGGAAAGGTGAAAAATATATAGTACTTTCATAAAACAACTACAACATGAACAACAAAAACAAAAGGCCCGCTCAGAAAATAGAACAAATACTACTATCATAAGAGATGCGAAAGCTCGAGAGTAAAAAGCCACCTTTTTAACAAATCCTCAGCTTCTCTGAGAAACCAAAGTTGCCCTATCTAAACAAATACAAAAAAGAAAAAATTGCAATGTTTCCCAACAGAATCCTCAGCCCCGAATCCAAATGCATTAAGTCTTCAACAGTTATTCAATTCTATCACTACGACGTATAAACACACGAGCAGAAACAAAACCTAGCAAGATCACAAATTGCAGACTCGTTTCGTGAAAACCCTAGAACATACGCCGATTAGGTTATAATCACCACAACCAATCGTGAACTTTCAAGAACAATAGAAGCAGATTCTGAGAATCTATCTGAAAAAAGCCTAAAAGAGTGCCAAATCAATGATGTGCGAATTCGCAACGAAGATTACACTGACCTGCGTGAGAAGATGCCTCAACGCCATCTCCTTCCGAGAGGCCAAGAAAATCCGATCTCTCTCTCTAGAAGACTAGAACTATCCGTCTAAATATATCAGTGCATATATGTATATGTATATTTTCTATTTTTCTGTTACGGTGATTATGGAATTGCAGAAAACTGTGAGATGTTTTTGGAGGAGAGGAGGAGAGAGAGAGTTGACGCGGACGATTGCGTACCGAGTTCGATTTTCAACCAATTATAAAATCAATTGTATATATGTGTGTATATATATGTGTTGACTGTTGACACTTGACGTATATACTCAGTATAAACAACCTAATATTAATTTTTCAATATTAATTCCCTGTAGTCTGATATAAGGTAAACGACCGCGTCTCAAGTCCCTCAACCTAATATTAATTTTTCAATTTTTTGAATTGTACAATTTTATTTATTTATTTTTTTTTGCTGGCACCGAAACTCATCAGGGTAGAACCTCTTCGGGACTTACCCCAGGTTACAAACCGGAGATGCTGTCGATGGTCCCCCACAGCACAGTAATAATTTTAGTTGAGAGTTATAATGAAGATGGACGAGTTCGAATCTGGGACATGAGCGTTCTCAGGCCGTTACCTTACCAACTCGGTTAAGCCCATAAAAACTGTAAATTTTTATTTACTTTTACATTTATCCGACCCACCCCAACCATTAATAAGATGGAAAGTTTTGGACTCTCCTTATATTCACTTGAAATAATAAATAAATTTTGTTATAATTAATCCAAAATATATATAAGGAGAGTCCAAAACCGATCTTTGTTTAGGGTTAAAAACATTGGTTTACTCTGAATTTCGTCCACAGGATTGACTGATTTAAAAACATATCTATTTTTAAGTTTTATTGGTACTTAAGTAATAATTATGATGTTACAGTAAAAAATTGTGTATATATTTTGGCTTTTATCATGTTATATTGTTGTCTGCATATATAACATATTCATTTCAATATTGCAACATCTTTGTTTGAGAATAGGACACTTAGTTTTACTTTGAAAATGCAACATCTCTATTTTAAAATATAAACAATTTAATATTGAGAGATATGCAACACACTTATTTTGAGAGGAGAATACATTCATTTCAAAAAATAAATTATCTTAATTTTGATAATGTAAAATATTTATTTTTAAAATTAAATATAAATCAATGGACTAGGCAAGTCGTAAAAATAAACCGACTTTGCACGTGTCGTTTACAATAATCACATTAACATGATTTTGTCTGTTTTATTTTTAGTTAAATTTTTAAAGAAGTAATATATTTTCTTTTGATTACTTGTTCAAAGTAAATAATTCATGTGTTCAATTGCAGACCCATGGGATGGTTATGGTTTTGTTACTCTGTATTCATGTGTTCAATTGCCCTCTTGTGTGTCACATGGATTGTAATTTGTAAATTACATTTTAGGAAAGGAAACATATTCAGTGATGTTTATTGTAATTGCAATTTTAATGCATGATTTCCTTTTCTTTTCTTTTTTATTTTTATTTTTTTTATTTTTTATTTTTTTATCAATTATCCATAAGCATGATATATATTTTTAGTTTTTTTATTTTATTTTCAAAAAATTACAACACCTTCGAAAATACAATACCTTTTTAGTTCAAGGAGGTAGGATCTTTATTTTGAAAAAATGTGGCATCCCTTATTTCGAAAATGAGATGCCTTAAGAATGTTATACTGGAGATTGCATCATCTTTAATTTTGGAAATCCAATCCTCTTATTTTGAGATGTAAATGAGTTAAACTTTTCATAAATAGTTTGCAAAATTTATAGTCTCATTTAAAAATGAGATTACAAAATTTGTACTCTCATTTGTAAATGAACCAAAGTTGGCTCTCTTGTTCATCAATATGTTCATGAATATGATTGCTTATAGGCCATATTTGAAAAAAGTTATTGTTTTATGTTTCAACTAGTGTACTGGAGTGAAATAAAAGCATCGCAACATGTTTGGTACCTGAGGGGCTATTTGAACAATACCCGACGTGTCTTATGAAAAGAGGCCACAAAAAGATATATTATATCACTGAAGCCAGAACATTGCAGAGGCAGTGTAACTCAAAAGGCATTTAGCTCAACGCTATAAATCTTCGTATTTTGTTTAGGGTGAGATATTTATAATTTGAATTGCTTTAAGCAGTGTGAATTAATTAGCGTATAATATAAGCAATTTATGTTTTATGTTTTGGCTTACCCATAATGGCTTATGTTCATATAGGATATCACTTATTTAATCTTTCGGCCTCCTTAATCTATCTTTTTGGTAAAGATAGAACCACATTAATACAATGAAAATAAGAGAAAATGAAAAGCCTAACAACAAATACCATACAGAATAATCTGTTAAAACATCAAACTTCCTACCCCTACCAAACCAACAGAGAGCCACTAAAAGAACCTGACCTCAGCAGCTGCTGCTTTGAGATCACTGCAAAATAACTCTCAGCTTCACTAACTGCTTGCGTCATGTCATTTGCACATGACTACACCAAAAGAATGACATGGAGCAATCAGCCCTGAGAGCATCTCTAATCCAATGCTAAAACGTTTGTCATTTCTAAAATATAGCAGGGGATTTCAAAAAGGATTCTCTAATGCAATGTTAAAATGGTTGTCAATTTTTGACTTTGCCAATTATAGCACAAGCTGCTATTTCAGAGAGAGAGAGAGAGAGAGAGGGGGTGGGTTCAGATTTGGCGCGCACACATATATATATATATATATATATATATATATATATATATTTTAAAAAGATCATAAAAAATTTCACCAATGCTAGAGAGAAGAGTGTAAAGATGGTGTTGAAGAGAAATAAACATTAATCTAGCCGGATGCCACGGTTGCCAATGAGGATGTCTGTGAAGCAGTAAACTGCTAGAGAGAGAGAGAGAGAGAGGAGTGTAGAGATGGCATTGGAGAGAAACATAAAAAATTTCGCCGAAATCGAAATCCATGGTCGCTGATCGTTTTTATTTAGAGATTGTTTTTGTTCTGGCAAAGGCATTGAAAGATGATGCGAAGAGATGGAGAAAAGCTGAAAAGGTTGAGAGGATAAATTTGGAGTTGTCTGTTTGTGATAAGGTGATGAGTTGTCAACTTCTTATTGATTATTGAGATTTCATTTGACACCATCAACAACAAAAGTCCATAAATCATTTTGTTTTATTTAAATTTTTTTTTTTTTTTGACAAGATATTTTAAATTTTTGCTTCTTTTTAATTAGTTTTAATTTTAATTTCTTTCTAATGTCTATAATTTGACTTGGAATGTGCCTAATATTAATATTACTAATGCAAATATGAATGGTGGGAATGGTAGTTAAAAAATAAATGGTGGTTTGTGTCAAAAAATAGCATTTTGCATAAAATGCATCGTTGAAGCATAATTGCTAAAATGTAGCATTTTTGACACTGTAGCACTGTCAAAATATAAATTTGGCATCCGAAATTAGCAATTCTGCATTGGAGATGCTCTGAGACCCAACATTTTGGAAGACCCAAAATGAATGTCCTAAATTCGAGAGGCCTAGGCCTATATATATATTCTTCTTTTTTTTTTTTTTTCCAAATTGGAAGCCTAGGCGCCTCGGCAACCTAGTAGTGTGTGTGTGTATATATATATATATATATATATATATATGTATGTATGTATCTTTCATTATTTTTATCAAGAAAAAAATTTGTTTTATTATGAATACTTGATTTTATAGATTCATATTTATCATTTGATGGAGTCAAAGTCATGATATTTCAAAAAAATGAAGTTGAGTGGTATCTCCTCTACTTTCGAAGTGGATGGTTAGAGTATTTTCAAGTACCACTTTTGTCTTCGGTATGGAGGATAACTTTTAGGGTAAAGTACGATGACCTCCCCTGAGGTTTGGCCTAATTGCAACTAAACCTAAGGTTTGCCATTTTTTTTATATAATGTCCCCTTGAGATTTGCTCAATTTTGCAAAAACCTCCCCTTAGTACAAAAAATTGTCCTTTTTGTTAGAAAATTTGGTTAAAGGGATTAAAATGCCTATCAACTAAGTGTAAAAGACCTCATTACCCTTATAGTGTCATAAAATAACCAAAAAAAATCATGCATTAGTGGACGAAATTGCAAAGACGATCTATGCAATTTCTACATAAAAACAATTGCGGAGACAATCTTCTTCTGAAGATAGAAATTGTTACATGCAAAACATATATTACAAAAAAAAATAAAAAAAATAGACTGGCATTCAGAAAATTTGCATAAAAATTAGTGAAAAAAATTGAAGGGCTTTTAGACAGACCCACAAAGAGCAGCCAATTGGGTTTTTTTTGGAAGACGAAGAAGAAACACCACCACCAGTCCCAAAGGACTGGTCTTTCTTTTTCAGCGGCGAAATTGGCATTGAAGATAGAGACGCCGATGACGACGTCAGTCTCTTGGCCGCCACCGCTTGCTCCGGCATCCCGTACTTTCTGGGTCTCCCTCTCTTCCTCCAGTCGATCTCTAACGACGTCTACACCGCCAAAGGAACGGTGTGAGGGTACACCATGTGAGGGGCCTTGCCGGTGTTAGGCAAAATAACATTAGTGGGGGAAGTGGTGGCAACAGTAGTGGCGGCGAAGGTGGTGTGGCAGTGGCAAGAATCTGGAGGTATTGAGGGTGTGGTGGTTGTGGAAGGTGGTGTTGTTGGTGGCAGTAAGAGCTCAGTCCACTTTCATTCGGTTCCATGAGGGAGACGTATAGAGAGAATGTTGGATGGTTGAATTTTATTTTTTTGAATTGATTTGTTTTTGGATTAAGTTTAGTTTAGTTTATTTTTGAGGTGGTGGTTTCTCATCCGTTTGATTGAAACGTGAAAATAGGTTTGGTGGAGAGAGATGGTGGTGGTAGGAGGTTGACTGATGGTGGCGATTGGGGGTAGGGTAGTGGCTGAAGAAAGAAGAGAGAAGAAAGAGAAGGATGGGAGGACGACGACGAAAAAAAAAAAAAAAAAAAACTGTGGTTATAAGTATAGGGGTAAAGTAGTCATTTAATATTTTTAGATATTTTGAATAATATAATAATGAGAGTAAATAAGTAAATTCACAGCAAATTCTAACATAGGGAGTCTTTGCAAAAAAATGACAAACCTCAGGTTTAGTTGTAATTAGGCCAAACCTCAGGAAAGGTCATTGTAGTTTACCCTAACTTTTATGCGCATGTACCAATTTTTGTGCAAG